GTGCAGGTTAGTGAACTAACTGGGAAGGGTTTTTTGTTGTTGTTTTGTTTTGTTTTGTTTCCTTCTACCCTGCAGGGTTTTCTTTCTTTTTTGTTTGTTTTGTTTTTCTGGAAGCCACCCAGTCCATATACTGCCAGCCCCGAGCTCGACAGTCTTACTTAATTGTGTGGCTTTAATTAGAAAATCGAATTTGTGCTCATAAGAAGTGTTTACCTTCAGTCCTAGTTTTCTGACACCTGAGTCCAAGATGGGTGGGGGGAGGGGGGTCAGCTCTGGCCTTGGAGGTTGCCGTCACATCCCCATTTGCTCACTTGTGACTGCATAGAGAGATACCAAGCCAGGCAGTGCAAGTGCAGCCTTCTTGTGTTTTCACAAGTGCAGTCTCCTGGCATCACTAACTGGCCTTCCTACTTTCTACTCTGTGGTCACCAAGTTGGGAAAGCCAGGTGATAGGCAAGAGGGAACAGTCTGAAGCTAGTTTTTCTTCACAGGGAGCAGTCAGATTAAAAGTACTCATCACCCATTCAGTGTGGGTATTTGAGAACGGCTGCAGAATGTTTGTGTAGAGAATAGGGCCTGCTATATGAACTCTTGAAGTTGGAATTCCTGGGTTCGCCTTCACCTTCTTTACAAATGCTGTGTGTGTGTGTGCGCCTGGCTGGCCAGGTGTAACATACATGTTTTATTTTTAAAGACAAGACATTATAATAGAACCTTTTACAGAGGTGTCACATGAAATTCTAAGTAACAAATCTCAGCTGCTTTTTAAAAACTAAACAATTTGAAGAGTGTTTAAAGGACCCGAGAAAGGATGATTTGGGTGGTTGTATAGAAGATATAAATGCCTTCACAGGGCTTGTTCTAGGAAAGTCTGAGAACTGCTTCATTTGAAATACTTCCCCTGCCCTAAACACTGCAGTTGAATTTTATTCAAAATACTCCTTTAGGATCCACACCACAAGAGTTCTTAATGCTTCAATCTATTTAACATTAGACGCAGCAGCCAGTCACTGTCCACAAAATGGTGGAGTGGCGTCTTCAATGTATGTGGCAGGGATGTTAGAATACAGTAAGCTGCAAACAAATCATAATTTAATTCAGGAGACAAATGAGAGAATAACTTTTCTGTTTGCCTTCTGGAAATATTTTTACAGAGACCACCATTTCCATTTGAAAAAAATGCTTCCTTTCTATTGATATAGTGCTAACCATATACTGCAATGCTTTTACAAAATGTAATTATGACTTGATCTTTAAAAAGAGTGTCTTAGCATGTCGGTGCAGTGCATGTCTGTCACAGGATAACATTAGACTAAGTTGCTACATTTATTGCAAGATTTTTCCCTTTGTCTTTAAAGAATAAAACAAAGCCCTTATGGGGATATTTTTTTCTTTAGCCTTTTGAAATTAGACCAAAAAAAAAAAAAGCTAATAATTAAGAGCCAACCCAAGATAAGAATTTTTTAAGTATTGCTTTTAATTAAGATTCTTTCAAGCTATATTCAGATTCAGCACTCTCCTAAAATCTGCATCAGAAAGAATTCCCCTTTACTGCATCAGAAAATTAGGGAGACACAACCCAGCAGACAAGAGTCTGCAGCATCGAGAGAGAAAACCGTGACAGAAGTGCCCGTTTCTGCTTTCTTGCCCCCAACCCTGCTCACATTTGCAAGTCAGCCAATTCTTGTGTCCCCAAGACGAGGCTGGTCTCACTGGTCCCTAGACTGGCATTTAGCAGAAAGGCACTTGGTGTTTGGGACTATTGCTTTCTTGGACAGTGCCTTGGGCAGAAAATGAAAGCAGTAAGAATGTCACCCAGTTTCACCAGTCTTCTCTTCCTTCACTGTGGGAGGGCTCCTCGGCAGGTGAAGTGACCACAGAGCAGGAGACACAAGACACAGGTGGTGCTCTGCCACTGAGCTTCAGTCACAGCCGCCTGTTTTCTCCAAAGCTCATGCAGTTGAGCCTGCAGCTAATCTTGGGGAAAGAGCACATGAACTTGGCAGAGACTTCTTTTACACTGCTCAAAGAACCAGCTTTGAAAACTCGGAAGCATTTAGTCATTCTAGACGAGAAGGGTAAGGTTGGGCCTCTAGATACCTGTGTGTCTGGCATTGCACACTGGTGCCTCTTGCAGCCCAGCATTCATTACTGCCTTTCCCTGGCATGTCCTGATTCACCATCAGAAGATGATGGCAATAATTAATTTACATATTTTATAGCAGTGACTGTTTAAGCAGTTTGTGGAGAAGCCAGTTTTGCACTCAAACTGTAGACTATATTCCCCAGCACAAACACAGAATCACACACCCAGAAACACTTTCAAGCCTCTAAATCATGAAGTACATATGAAGTTAGGAGGATCATCTTCCAAGCAATGAAATGTATAGGCCATGAAGTTGTTCTGTGACCCCCTTGCTCTCCAATCTAATTCCTGCCTCATTTTTTTCAGAGGTAAGGACTCTCCCCCTCAACTTGGCCTTTCAATCATTTCCCCATATAACTTATTATTATTTTTTTAATGTTCAGGGGTAGTTTTGGTTGTGGCTAACATTTGGATTTTTTTGTAATTTAATGTAATCCAAATTATCAGCATAAGATAAACATGTTTTGATGGTCAGTCTGTATAAAAGTCTTGTGCAGGCTTGGCAATGGTCTTCCTGGGATGAGAGAACCTGTTATCTTTGTAGTATTTTCTAAGAATGACCATTCTCAAACTTACCAAGATTCGTTACCTTTTTCCTTTTGACCACACACACACACACACACACACACACACACACGTATATTGCTGAAAGAGAAGTCGTCATTCATCTTGAGTCCTTTAAAACAACTCACTGAATTCACAAAGGTAGCACGTCAGACTGGCCTCTTGCAGGCACTGTAAAACATGCCAATTCCAACATTTTCTCTTTGTAACTATAGGCGTTGACTGTCAGTATGAGCTAAGTTAGAGGGCAGTAGGGAGTCATGTTTTTCTTCATTTTAAGAATTTTTACAAAACCTGGACTTCATTTATATTGGCCACTATCTGGATTCCTTCCTGAGCAACCCCCCTCCATACACACACATACACACATTCCCACTGCACAGTTCTAAGGGGTCTGAGGGCACAGCCGAGGGCAACACCATGCAGACACCACAGGCTTGAGTTCCAGAGCCCTGAGGCATGCTAAACATGTGGTCTCTTCCTGTCCTTTCCCCTTCAGATTGAATGAGCTGGGCTGGAGTGCCTCCAGATGAGGGTTAGCCATTCTGTCCACTGCCTGTCTTCTTTGTAATTTGAGCCAGTCCCATCTTTGCTCAGATAGGGCAGTCTCCTGGGGTCCCATTTCCCTGTCTTTCCATGAGACATACATTCCTCCTCCAGGAAAGATTGGGGCATGTTTAGCAGCTCATGTTAGTAGCTCAGGAAAAGGAAGTTGGAATAATCAGATTCTAGCCTTCCTTTTAGTGAAATCGAGGCCACCTCCTTCAGATCTCAGGGACTTAAGGCATTATACACCTGTGTTCTAAGTGGTAGGCCTTGCAATGTGAAATGGAGGGATTTTCACTTGTGGGTTGGTTTAGATCCCTGGTTTTCGGGGGGCCAGTACAGCAGAAGGGGAGACTGCAGTGGGCCCATAAGCCCTCCGAGCCTTCTGTCTCACTTGGCAGAAAAACACAGAACAACAAAAGAAGGCTCTTTTTCCATAAAGGTCCACCCCCCCATCCCATCCCCCATGCCTCTTCCCCAAAAGGGGCCTGGGTTTTTCAGCTGTGCACCGATTTGGTGCTCACTCTTGCAGGGAAACAGTTGCTGTCTGAACAGGCAGGAAACAGTTTTCTTTTAATTGCCGGAATCATTCGGAAGTGCTCCATGCCCCGCTTCTATACAGCAGATGCTGTGCATTAATTGGCCTGTGTAGAAGTGACCCGGGGTTCCTTGCAGCGGGCCCAATTTTAGGCAGAGGGTTTAAATAGCGTATTTATTATTTTGTATAATCTGCCGTGCATTATGTGCTCCTGCATGTGTCGTGTTTCATGGTCTGCAGTTTCTAATGTCATGTGGGTTTCAAAGCCCGCGTTTCTCTGGTAATGTACTAGCAGCAGGTAAGCTCAAAGCACCATCCATCAGCAGCTAATTTTTTATCCAGATACTCCAATGACTGATGAACCTGTCTTTTGTATGAATGTTTAGCACAGTACAAAGCCATATGCCACTGGCACAGTTTCCTCTGCATTCTTTACAGTTGCTAGAGAGTGGGTTTTGGCGGGGGGGGGGGGGGGGGGGGAGGGGGGCAAACTTGATGGCATTTGCATCCTCTGGCCTGTATTTTAAGCAGTAGCACCTTCGAGGCAGCCTTGGATTTGGATGACAAAAGGGGTAGGGCCCATCTTAAAGGAAACCTGACTCCCATAGTGGTTTTCTCCCTCAGAAATATGACTGTGCACCCTTAATAGGGAACCTTGTTTTGTTCCTCCCCGTCTGTTGCAAACAGACCTCAGCCCATTAGAAGGGCCTCCCTTGTGTGGGAAGACCACAGCTGTTACTGTAAAGCTCATCCAGTCACTGTATCACCCCCATTTTGTGGCTCTGAAGGATGAAATTGAGAAATGGAGCCCTGTGCAGTCATCCTTTACGTCTCCAATTTTAGGCCTTTGCCATCATTTTCATGCTTTTATTCCAAATCAAATAACATTAGTGGGCTACAGCGCCTTCTGATGAATGTCTGTTCTCAGGCACAGCTTTCGAGGCTCCACTTTGAGGGGGCTCCCTTTCATGTCTGGCAGAGGACCCTCCTTCTCATCCCCACCCTGTATTTTCTTTGAGCTTTCTTTAGGGGTGATGACAGTTTGCAGTTCGAATGATACACATGGCCATGCAGGTCCCAGTCAGAGCGTGATTCCTGAGAAGGGGGCATGTGCTGGAGAAGGTTCTGTATCTTTTAATCTTTGCAGAAAGAGTGAAGGGGTCTTGTTAGAAGGAGATTGGGGGCTTTAATCAGAACCAAGATGTGGCTTAAATCATTAGCACAACAAAGCATACTATAAGCTTCAAGATAAAAGTCCCCTGGGAAAGGAGTCCTCTGAAAATAAATGGAACTTGATAGATTTCCATATCATTTATAACTTCCCTTAATTACACTTGGAAGACTTGCCAGTAAAACTGGAAAATTGGCAGCCTCTCTCCATTAGAGTCATTTTGCCGACCATGGCAAGCAGCTGGCTTTGCTGGATTTTATTTCCCATCACTCACAATTAATCATCAGCTGGAGATGTCTGAAACTCCTCAGCACAGAGCGATGCTGGGTGACATTCAGGCCCCTAAACATGTGAAAATCTGCTGAGTAAATGGGCTGAGTTCTCTCACAAGCTTACTCGTTTGGGGCAAGCCTAGCTCCCACTTAATGAGGGCTGCTCTAAGACTGATTCGAGTGTGAACCTTGACCCTGTGTCAGAGGAGAGGATGCAATAAGCTGGATGAAAGGCATGGAATTCAGGTCTCCAAACTTTGCACCAGTTAGACAGCAGAGAAGTACATCAGGCCGACTGCGTTCATCAGGACGACTTGTGAGGCTTGTGACCATTTAGTAAGCCCAACTCTGGATACACCTGTCAGTCAGTAAGTCTAACATCAGAGCTTCACAAGAGTGTCAGGGAAGTGTGTGTGCAGCCATGCTGCAGGGCTGGCTGGCTACAGGCACTGTGACTGGGGGGCGGGCGGGCGGGGCTGTGGCAGGTGTGTGCTGCATGTTCTGCAGGTGTGGACAGCACAGGCGGGGAGGCTTCCGCTTGGTGGGAACTAGAGCCTGGCTGGGAGCAGTGACAGTTGCAGCCTGGAGATTGCATTTTGTCTTTGACATGAGCTTTGTATTGCACTGATTTCCAAGGGATGAAATAAGTTGAAATTAGATCAAGCTTGTCTGCATAACTCTTTTTTATACTTGCTTTTGCATGCGTGTGTATAGCATGATCTAGTTGGACCAAACATAGCAGTGTTTTGTGAGGGGCACCAAGGGACATTTTCCCACAGCTACCTCAAGAAAATGGCTTCTAAACATGACTGAAAGGAGAAAGAGCAAGCTAGTGGTGGAAGACAAGGGTTTATGCTCACAGTTAAATGATGCAAGGGGGAGTGGGAAGTCATGGGGGCAGGAGGAGGTAGAAGGCCCAGGTCTAATTCTATGAGTTGCTGCCGGGCTGAGAGTCAGGCAAAAGGCAGGCTCCCTTTCCATCAGTGGAAGTTTGCTTTTTATTGAATTTTACCAGCTTTGCAATTGGGTTGGGGGGTGGGTTTGTCAGCTTTGAGACTTCTCATTTCTGATCAGATGAATAATTTGGGACCTAGTCCTTGTGCTCACACAAGTATCCAGAGCCGTCCAGGGAGAATGGTTGTGGTGGCAAGGCACCCTAAACTGGCCCACATCCTTCTGTTCTAGCACAGTCTGGTGGGAAGGGAGTTGGGGCCCGGTGAAGCTGTCCCTTAATGTTCACTGTGGGTATTGTTGGCCCCTGACCATGACCACTGGAGACCTCCAGGCTTCTTACAGAAGATTGTAAGGGCACTGTTGTGTGTGTTCAGAAAGGGTCACGGGACAGCAGGTCTTGAGCAGTGTGACAAGATGGCATGAGCAGCGATAGGTGAGAGCACAGTGAGGCAAGTCCATCTACGAGGAAGCTGATGGGATGGGGTGAGGAGACTCTGACCCAACCCTGGGCTCTCAATTGCTCATAGAGGAAGCCAGGGCAGGTGGGTATGTGGAAGGCTACTGCATAAAAACCCATGGTGAAGACGTGTCCATCTGACAGCAAACAGTGGCCAGAGCCCAGAGGTAAAGGTTTGATTTCTAATTTTTGGATAGAATTTTATGGTGTCCTAAGGAGCTATCTGTGCTGTTACCTGCAGGTCAGGGTCAGGGACATTTCATCCTGGCTGCTGGATGAGCTGTCAGTCCTGCTCTGGCCATGGCTGGGCCCCTAGGCCTTCCTGTGTGACTCAGTGACACCTGCCCTTCTCCTGGCTTTCTTGACCTCCTACCTGCCTTTGAGAGGAGAGAAATGGTTCTAACATGATGGCAGAAAGAAGTAACTGTTCTGACACCTCCAGCCAGGGCATCTGCGTCATTTTGGCTCCGCCGTCTCCTGTCCCCCACATTTTGAAGAACAGCCCTTTGGAGGTGCTGCCTCTCTGTGCCTGTACTGCAGATGCCAGGTGAAATGAATCAAAAGCGGCAGTGAGCACTGTGCTCTAAGCCTGCTTGTCAGCAGTGCCTCTCCTCTGTGCCAGCACCAAAGCCTTGGCATCTCCGTCCTTCCTATATTCCCGTGCCAGAAAAGCTCAGCCCCACCACCTGAACAGCAGAGGAAAGAATGCACAGGGCTTCAGTGCTCACACTGCCAGCAAGACAGCTTGTGCCACACAGGGAGCCAGGAGGGGACTTGGAGATCATTTGGGGATGGCAGGAAAGAACATTCCCCAGGTCCTTCTGCGGCATTGGCCAGCACAGCCACACTAGTATGGCTGTCCAGGAGCCCCAGCCAGCATCCGCAGCAGCACTCTGTGGAGCCTTCAGCCTACCACTTCATAGAAGAGCAAGAGACCCTTCTCCACAAAACAGAAAAAGACCTGTTGGCCCAGATCCTTGGCACTTAATCATTAAGGCCAGAGAAAAAGGAGTAAGAAACATGGCTTTTAGACACAGCTGACTCCTGGATGGACGTCCCAGATTAACCCTGTGGGTATGTGCCTGCTCAGCCTGGATCTCCCTCATGGGCAGAGGAAAGCCAAGCACCAGAAGGGGCTTGAACAAGCAAGCACCTGGGGAGCACTCAAGGCTGTCTTGTAAGGACATGGTATAGCTGGAGACATGTTAGTACTTGCATGTCTTGTAGGTGGACAGCAGTCCTGCTGGCCCTTCCGCTAGGCGGTTATCTTCAGCTCCCAGGATAAAGGCAAACCTGTACCTTTTGGCAAGAGATTACTGAATTGCAATTCCCATGTGGTATGTGTCATCCCTTTAAAGCAGGCAAGTTGCTGGATGATGTTTATGCATCGTTATAAAACCACCACAATAATTGCAGGTTTTTTTTTTTTTTTTTTTTAATCACTCTGTAAAGGAAGCTTTACCCTTTGGTAACCATTCTCCTTGTCCAGCAACCCCAGACAAGCACTGATGAGTCCCTTGGTCCTTAGGTGTCTGCCTGTTGCAGACATGGCAGGGAGGCGGAAGCACTGGTTTTGTAGCATCTCTAGCTGGCTCCTAGGGCCCTGGGGGAGGCCCCATATGTTGCACTCACCATCTCCCAGTACAGGCTTTTCTAATGAGAACTTGACCACAGAGTGAATGGCCTTTCTCTACCGTCTCCTCAGATGTACTTACTGTAGTGGGGGCCAGCAGAAGTCACTGGTATTTCCATGACCAATCAGCACATCTAACAAAGGAGTTAATGGCTTCACTCTTGGATGTTACTACAAAATTAGGTTAAACATAGATGTTTTAAGAACATTCTATTTTCTAGGTAGCAGAAGGCCAGGAAATCTGTGTGATTGAAGCTATGAAAATGCAGAACAGTATGACAGTCGGGAAGATGGGCAAGGTATGTCCCCAAACTCCCATCGGCCTACTCCAGCCTGTGATGGATGCAGGCACCTCCACCTTTGAGACATGGGTTGGTCTCTTTAACTAGAATGTAGAGATGATCTCTGCCACCTGTCCCCTTCCTGGGGCGGACATTAGGACTCGGGAGCTCTACTCTGCCAGTGTGTCTCTGCCTCCTGGAGAGGCAGCTTTCCAGGAAGGAGAGGGGGGGTCTCAGTGTTATGTTCAGGTAGTCAAAGCACAATTGTTCTCCACATTAATGTCTTTCAGATGAAGGGGTTTTTAATTTTTAATGTTTACATCTGTCTCGGAGGCAGTTAGTTATCTGAGACTTAGGTGACACAGCAGGAAATGGTTTTACAGAGTGCAAAAATTAATGTAACTCTTCAAGATAATTTCCCCTCGAAGGGAACAATTCAGTTGTAGATGGAGGAGCTGAAGCCCCATGTACAGGCGAAGGGCTTAATGATTCTGGGAGAAAAAGATAAAAAGGGTTCAGTACTAAGACAGACAATTAAGAGTACAACTTGAAAACCCCTGGTAAAAGCAGTGGTTTTGCTGTTCTTCCTGTGACTGACATGATGCAGTCATTCAGAGTATGTCCCTTTCCCAAAGGGTGTCTGGGTTTGGAAGTATCTATACAGAATGTCACTCGGGGGTGAGGACAGCAGGAGAGGGTGGCTGTGTCCTACTCTGTGGCCTGCGTTGTGGCCACACTGTGGGGACATTGGGTTCAGAGAGAGATGTCAGTTACAAACAAGTCTGCATCACTCAGCTCCAGTCTATTATGTGGTCTGTTATCCCAACAGGCAATGCACTGGATTCTCAGAAGGTGGCCTAGAATTATCCTACCTGTTCCTGGTAGGGAAATTACAAGGTTCCCTGCAGGTTCAGTAGCCCCAGGCTAGAGTGGGTTAAGATAGCCAGGCAGTGTCCCTGGGATTTAACAGTGTAGAATGGACCTGCAAGGCCTTAACAGCCCTTTCTCAACTGAGTGTGTGGTGCCTCATGTTCCAGGAAATGGAGGCTCCCAAAAATATAGACATACAAAAAAATATAAGTTTTTGGTTCATGTAAAACTCATTTTACTTGTCCTTTGCAAACACTGCACTAGTGTCATGGTGTGAGCTTAGCCTCATCTAGTCAGGCCCTGTGTTGAGGTGCTGATGATGCAGCATGACCCCCAATGAGCTGAGTATCTTCTTTGCTGCTTTGGGGCCATCACAGGAGCAGCCTGGCTGCTCCCTGAACCCAGAACTGCTTGAAGAAGTGCTGTTGGGGCAAGTCCTGCTAGCTCAGGTCCCTCCCCTCCATTGATTCCACAGGTCTCTGGAGTTGAACCTGGTAAGACAAAGGAGTGGCCCTGGCTAGCTCTAGAGCTAATAGTTCTTCCCTGGAGGGGGCATTTTTTTCCTGTGAGAAAAGTTTCAGGGTGGAAACAGAGCCACAGTGTGGATCTGCTACAGGCCACATTCACTTCACTCCAGATAGCATCTGCCCATCAAGGCCTTTGAGTATTTACACTGCTCTTAGTTACTCTGGGCTCACAGTGGAGGAACAGGGCTGAACAGGCCTGTGCAGCAACAAGGAAAATTCCTGTCCTTTTTATTTGCTTAATGCCAATATGGCCAGTTAGGTCAAACCCACTGTTTGTTCCAAGGAGGGAAATGACTTCTTATGCTCTCCAGTCTTCTGCCTGCTCTTTTTTTTTTTTTTTTTTTTAAATCTGAAAACAAATCTGGAGAGGCAAGACAGGATTATGTTCACGAGAAATCAGAAGAAAAAAAGAGTTCTACACTCTATGTCACTCAACTAAAGTGGGGTATTTAATTTCTTTCAAAAGGAGGGGAAATAGTCAGGTAGGAGATCTCTCCTTTTGATTGGCACCTGTCTGGATTATTGTGCAGCTGTTTGGTTTTTACCCTGACACTAAATTACACCTTGTAGTCTCAAAACCATAGGATGAGGCAGGGATGCATCAGTCACCAGCCTGGCCCTGTATCGGGGGCCTGGGCAGCATCCCACAGCTTCCATTCTCTGAGAATTACGAGGACCACGAGTGAACACAGGCTGCTGTAGGAACACCCCTGCACTCTGGTTCCCTTAGACCACATGGTCATGTCTAAGTTTTGGGGCCTAAGGCCACATATGTCTAGGAAGAAATTGGGATGACTGACCCTCTTGGTTCCCATTTTGGTTCCTCACTCTTCCCCAACCATTTTAATTCAAGGTGAAATCGGTGCATTGCAAAGCTGGAGACACAGTTGGTGAAGGAGATCTGCTGGTGGAGCTGGAGTGAAGTATTCCGAGCCTTTCAGTCATCTCTGCTTTAATTAGCATTTCTATTATTCTCCAGCCCTCAGTTTGTTCAAGCGCATACAGGAGCACTCCTGTGTGGCAGGTTCTACAGCATCGTATTTATTCCTCACAAGAGGCAACACTGACGTTCTGCCAAAAAATCACCAATGGAAAATTTTATTGATATAAATACTTGTACATATGATTTGTACTTCTGCTGGGATTTCCTAGTGTCAAAATTAAATCAATAAAACCAAGCACTTGTCTAAATATTAGTTTGCCCCCCCCCTTTTTTTTTCTGAATGAAGACAATATACACAGAGGCAACAGGCTGTGCCAATTGACTGTAAATACTAGCATTTCCTTGTGATCCTTTAAAAATGTATGTAAATTCCAGTTCTCTGCTTCCAATTTTATAATCTGATTACCTTCCTTCTTCCATCACTCAGGATTTCCTCAGACCAGGTAGCACAGATGAAGGGTCTGGAAGCCCCTTCTGTGTGGGTCCACGCAGTTGTCACATTGGGTGACCTAAGAGTTGGATCAATGTTTTGGGGTCTGTAGACTGACCCAATGACAAGCATGCTGTGCAGGTCCTTTTTCCTCTCTCTCAATGGCTAGGATGCCGCACCTTCACTGTTGTGTGCAGGGATGCCATCCCATCAGCTGATACCCGTCTTTGCCTTTTTGTTTTGTGAAGCAAGTTTCTAATTAAGAAAAAGGAGCTAAAAATAGCAGTCCTGTTTCTGTGCCAGTTGCAGTTAGTGATCAGTCCACCATTAAGCTGAAGAGTGAGTGAGCTCTTAGCAGAGTGCCAGGGTGCTTAGGCAGCAGCTGCATTTGGTTCTGCAATTCCTGGAATCCATTTTTTACTTTACTAGGAGGCAGAAGCAGAATCCTGTGCATCTTGCATCTATGCTGACAGAGTATCACATGGAGGTGGATGGTAATTGGTACTTCGTGTCTTCCTAACATTATTTTAAGTGCTGTTTGTATTTGGAAGCAAAGCTTTCTGTCAGGCCTGAGGAACAAATTACTAATGTGTTGGTTCTTCTGAAAGGCCCACCCCCAAGGGCTGCACCTTCAGCTGGCAGAGATGCGCTGGGCACCCATCAAGGACATAAAGTCTGAGTGCTCAGCTGTCTCCCAGCAAGCCACTGCTCCTGACTTGGCTGAATTAGAGTGAAAGACATCTTCTACCAAGTAAGTACACCACACAGAAACAGCATACTTACACTTTAGTGGCTGTTTTAGTCATTTGTGTGTGATCTGGAAACTGTAAGGGGTGGAGTTCTTAGTCTAAAGTGCAGCATGCTTTTATTGAAGACGTTTTTCCACTGAGCAATCCCAAACCAGCATTTCTGACCACCTCTTTCTAGATGTCATATATGGGAATCAATACATGCAGCTTCTAGATCCAACTGCAGCCAGGTCTTTAGTCACAGATGATGCCATCTTCAGATTAGAGCAGAGCAAATCAAAAAAGGAGTGCCAGGTGCCCTACAACTGCCATTTAGGGGGACTTCGGCCCAGAGTGTTTCACATCTAGTACCTGTAAGCCCAGGAGGTCCTTTGAATAGTAAGCAGCATCAGATTAAGAGTATTTACAAAATTTGTGTCAGATCTTTTGTCAACATGTCTTATAGATAGAGGTTGAGCCAGGAAAGCTTTGCCTGTGCTAGGCAGCCCCTGGGCTCCCTCTATCGTGTTAGCATCTGGGGCACGAGCCCCTCACCTGTTTTCCCGGGGGTTGTAGGGCAGCCCATGTGGGCCCTCGGAATCGTAGCTTTTATGGTAGGGGAGATGCAGCCACTCAGGTACATAGGTGGCTGTACTATACACAAAGCACTGGAGGCTGTCCACAGGGCCACCAGCACCCTCCCACTCAAGCACCTGCACCTGCAGGGCTGTGCGCTGGTACATGGTGGGGCAGCCTTCAAAGTCATCCAGGAATCGCAACATCTGTTCATCCACCTTGTAGATCTCACCTTCCACACGATGGCCCTTGCCTGGCACGTGCAGCAGCCATGGTATGTTGTGCTCTCCGGCAATCACCAGTGGGAAGGACTCAACTGTGCAGCCTCTGCCTTGGAACACTGCAGAGCCATGTGACTGGTCCAGCATGACTTTGTGGTTGGGCTGGCCTCGTTTCAGAGTGCCATACACGAAGATGTGGGCCATCTAGCTGCAGATACTATGGAGGAAAGAGCAAGTAGGCATGTCAGGGGTGAAGAGCTCCCTCAGGGCACCTCCAGAATTCAGGCCAGTACCATCACATTTACCCCACTCTGCTGGCCCAGCTTATAAGGAAGAGGAGCCAGCCACAGTATCCTGGTTAAACTTGGATGATGGCCGCAGGAGTTCATATGGTTTTCATGTCATGAAATGCTTTCTCTAGCTTTTTAAAAAACTGAAAGAGGCACTGGGATAGCCTGCTCTGGAATTTGTAAGCCTGAACCTACAAACAGCAGCAAATATTAACTAATTTTAAAAATCAGGGCTGGTGGCAAGGTATGGTGTGGCACACACCTTTAACTTTAGTCCTGGTGAGGGAGGTAGATCTCCGAGTTCCAGGATGGCCTGGTCTGCATAACAAGTTCTAGGTCAGCCAAGGCTGTCTAGTGAGATACAACATCTGAGCTAGGGGTGTAACTAGAGACTCCAAGCCTTAGAGAAAGAACACTTACTAAGCACCATGGCATGTGTGTGGCAGGGAGATCTTCCATATGTTTCTAAGAACTTGGAACTCAAGTGATCCTCCTACCTCAGCCTTCTGAGTAGCTGGCATTAGAATACCATTACACCTGACAAACAGCACCCACAGCGATGCTAAGGTTGGAAGAGCAGGCATGTCAATCACTCTGCACCACCAGAATAGACTGATCCAGATCTTACAAAGGCTACATATGGAGATAGTCTCTGAGCATCTCAGGTGTGTGTAGGGGTGTAATGATCAGCCTTTACTCCATCTGCCTGAGCCCCGCTGCCATGTGGGTGCCCAGAATAACACATAGTCTTATATTTACAATGCTGTTGGCCAATTGACTAGGATTTCTCATCTGCTAGCTCAGTCTTAACTATCAGCCATAATCATAAGACTTATGGTGGACACAGGTGGTAAGCGCCCTCTCTTGCCGGCAGATCATATGGCGGCTCAGTAGAAATGAGAGCAGGAGGAAGAGCAAGAGAAAAGGGACAATTTCCTTCTTGTCCCTGCTTATATTCTGAGTCTGCCTGCTATTTCACTTCCTCCCTGGATCACAAGACTTCTCTTTACTACATTTCCCAGGATCCTCCTTGACTCCTAGTCCCACCTATCTTGCTTTCCTATTGGCCAACCAATAGGACACAGAAGGGCCTCCCCCATCGGGGGGATCAGAGTGGGGCTAGAATAGAAAAGACAGCCTTTCTTCAGCTGGCTACGGAGTACAGGTGGCTTACTCAGGTCTCTGTAATACCCTTCTGTCTCAGAAGACAGGCGTTGCCCTACCCAGTGGAAGCCAAATCACCACCAGAGAAAGGCCTTGGCAAAGCTGGACCTGGACCCCACACTTGACAGTCTTACGGTGGCACTGAGGTAGGTCCCAGGGGAGGCCGTCCAGCCAGCCATAACACTGTCACTGTTGTCCTGCAAAACCTGTGGGTGCATAGCTTTCTTTCTCAAGGTCATAGAGCAGTGGTTCTCAACCTTCCTAATACTGTGACCCTCTAATACAATTCCTCATGTTGTGGTGACCCCCAACCCTAAAAACACTCCATTGCTACTTCATAAATGTAAATTTGGTACTATTGTGAATCACAATGTAAATATCTGATATATGACCCCAGAGGGGTTGTGACGCATAGGTTGATCACTTCTGTCTTAGAAGGCAAAGGTAACTCGTGGTGATTCACAGCAGTAACCTTGGCTCAATGTAAAATTAACATTCCCTTAAGTCTGGGCTACAGACTTATGTAACAAAGTGCAAACACAGGAGCAGGTCCTCTCCACACCCCGTGGATGCTCCACTGCTCATGTCAGCCTGTGTGGGGCTTTGGGAAGGGGACTTCCCCAGTGCAGAGACAGGGAACACTGGCTAGCAACATTGAACATTTGCCTGGCCAGCACCAGCGCCTTGAGGAGGGGACCCAAAGATGGACTGTTCTCTATTGCCCTTGAGATTTTAATGTCCTGCTTCCCTCCATGAAGCAAAAACAGTGTTTTAAGATGCATAACATTCTGAATGAGAAGATCCGTGTCACTGGAGGTGAGCTTTGAGGTTTCAAAAGCCAGGCTCTGTGCACAAGATGTAACATAGATTAATAGATTAATAGTTATAGGTTAATAATTAAGAGAGGCCAGGTGGGGATGGTGCATGCCTTTAATCCCAGCACTCAGGATTTTTTTTTTTTTGTGGAGAGGGGGTTGTTTTTTGGAGGCTGTCCTGGAACTTGCTCTGTAGACCAGGCTAGCCTTGAACTCATAAGAGATCCGCCTGCTCCTGCCTCCTGAATACTGGGATTAAAGGTGTGCCCTACCATGCTTGGTTAGTCATATGGCTTTTCTAATTTAAGCTCTACCATTTAGGTATTTAATCCATTTTGACTTTACTTTTTGTTTTTATGTAAAAGTCTAACTTCATTAATCTGTATATAGATACATCATATTATTTGTGTAAAGAGCTGCCTGTCCACAGGAAATGTTCTTGGAATTTCCTGCAGATTTTGTTTTTTAACTACACATGCAAGGATCTACTTCTTAGGCCTTCTCTCATATCCCATTTCACTATTAGGTTTGTTTTCAGGCTACTAACACACTATTTTGATTGTCACAACTTAGCAGATTTTCTGTTTGATACATCTATTTTAAAGTGTGATCCTGGGCTAGCCTGGTCTACTTGCCATCACTCACAGATCCCTTCTGCAGAGTCTAACCCAATGAGCCTCTCTGACCCTACTGTCCATGAGCCTTAGGCACAACCCACCAGTTCTAGCCCAGGTCCCACATCCACCAGTGCCCAGGCTGTGTCTAGTCACCCTTCTCCAGTACTACAATCCATCTCTAGGGTTTTGCCTGGAACCACCCTACTGATATCTTCATACCACATAGCCCAAGGATCCCTCCCGTACCACATTCAACCATTCCACCAAGCCAGATCCACCCTCACACTCTAGGCTAGTCCAAGAGGCAATTCTTCTCTGTCCATCTGAAGCCACTGCCAAATGCTAGGCCCCATCCATCCTCTCTTCTGCTCTAACCTGCTCTGTCCATATGCCCATATTGCGAATCTACAAACATGAAGATAACCAGTATCTACTCTGCAAAACCTACCAGTCCTACAGAAGTGTTTGCCATTGATTACCAGTGAGAATTACTTAGATGAACCCAGGGCACAGAACTTAAAAGGAAAATTATAAATTTCATGAAGGAATTTAAAGAATATACAAACAGCTCAATGAAATTAAGGAAAATAAGGCTGAGTGAAGCCCAAAAAAGCACAAACACAATGCTGATGGGAATGATAAAGACAACCTAGGACTTTTGAAAATTGAATTCAATTAGGATATATAAACATTGAATGTGAAATGGGGAACTGAAAACACAATAACTCAATTAGAAAACTCAAAAGGTCTTACAAGTAGAGTGAATGAGCAGAAAACATACTACCAGGAATCAAATATCTAGATAAAATAAGGGAAAAATTAAAAACACAGGAAAGGAATGTACAGGAAATGGGACATCATGAAAAAAAATACTTCAAATTATAGGCACAGATGAGGGAGAAGACTCCTAAGTCAATGCACAGACCAGATCTTCAACAGGATAACAGAAGAAATTTTCCCCGAACTAAGGAAAGACACAAGCAAGATACAGATACAAGAAGCACACAGAACACTAACTAGACAAGATCAGAAAAGAAAATCCCACAGAACATCATAGTTAAAGCACTAAATACACAAAGTGTACTGAAAGCTACAAGAGAAAAAAATGCAAGTTACATATAAAGAAAAACCCATTAGAGTAACAGTGGATTTCTCAATGGAAAGTTTGAAAGCCAGAAGAGCTGGAAACAGTGTATTCCAATCCCTAAAAGACCATGGTGTCCATCACAGATAGACAGAACCAGCAAAACTATGCAATAATTGGAGAAAGGAAAGGTTTTCACAATATGAGCAGCCTAAAAAATTATATTCAACAAATCAAACAAAGAAAATGGGGCAATGCTTTGGGCTGGAGAGAGGAATGAGCATAGCTGAGAGATTGTGGAAAGAAACGCAAAGCCACAATTATTAAAACACAAATTATCAATGAGAATACAACACTAAAAATAACACAATGACTGCAATTAACACACACGTTTCAACAATTTTAAATATAAATGCCTCAATTCTCCAATCAAAAGACACAAGCTGACTGAATGGATCAAAGAGCAAAATCCATCTATTGTCTACAAGAAACACAACTCGGATTTAAAGATAGGCATTGAGTTAGGGTATGAAAGGATGGACAAAAGTGTTCCCATCAGACTGGACCTGGAAGCAAGCAGGTGTCACTATCCTAATACCTGACACAACATACTAATAAGAAGAGATAAAGAGGTAGACACTTCAACACAACATACTAATCGGTAGAGATAAAGAGGGAGACACTTCATTCTTATTAAGGGAACAGTTAGATAAAATGACATTACCACCCTAAACATATATGCACCAAATTCTGGGGTGCCCAATTTTTCATTTCTACTAGTGGGATTTAAAGACACAGATTACTATGAACCCATTAATAGAAGGTGATTTCAATATAGCAATTTTTCCAATGACAGGTGTCTTAGTTATTCTTCTATTGCTGTGAAAAGACACCATGGCCAAGACAGTTTATAAAAGAAAGCCTATAATTAGGGGTTTGCTTACAATTTCAGAGAGTTAGTTCAAAACTACATTGTAGGGGAACATGGTGACAGAAGCAGGTAGATCTCTGAGTTCCAGAACATCCAGGGCTATGTAGAGAGATCTTGTCTCCCCAACAACCCTCCCCCCAAATAATTCAGAAAGAACACAAATAAATGGCTTAGTGATGCAACTACAAAAGTTGGAAAATAAGAATAAACCAAATCCAAACTCAGTCATAGCAAAAATAAAAACAAAAGCAGAAATCAATGAAATAGAAACAAAAACAATGCAAAGAATCAACAAACCTAAGAGCTGGTTCTTTGAGAAGATAAAGTATGGAACTTTGGTCCAACTAACCAAAAGAAATAAAAGAATCCAAATTAACAGAACCAGAAATGGACACGGAAACATTACCACAGACACTAGATAAATTCAGAGTATTAAAAAGGAATACTTTAAAAATCTATACTCCATTAAGCTAAGAAACCTAGAAGAAATGGATGGATTTCTAGATTCAGCCAAATCACCAGAATTAAAGAAATCATCAATCTAGAGGGAAAACATCTCAACACAATAAAAGCTATATTTGAGAAATCCCCAGTCAACATCATCTTAAATGGAGAAAAGCTTGAAGCAATCTCATTGAAGTTAGAAATGAGACAATGTTGTCCACTTTCTCCACTTCTTTTCAATATTGTGCTCAAAGTACTAGCTGGGACAAAAAGGGAACAAACAGAAGGAATACAAGGGGATACATACAAATGGAGAAAGAAGTCAAATTATTCCTACTTGCAGATGAAATAATGCTATACAAATTCTACTAGAAAACTAGAAACAATAAACAAATTCAGCAATGTGAGAGGATACTGAATCAATGTGTACACACACACACACACACACACATACACACACATACACCCACTCACACACACACATACACACACACATACACACACATACACACACATACACACACATACACACACATACACACACATACACACACATACACACACATACACACACATACACACACATACACACACATACACACACATACACACACATACACACACATACACACACATACACACACATACACACACATACACACACATACACACACATACACACACATACACACACATACACACACATACACACACATACACACACATACACACACATACACACACATACACACACATACACACACATACACACACATACACACACATACACACACATACACACACATACACACACATACACACACATACACACACATACACACACATACACACACATACACACACATACACACACATACACACACATACACACACATACACACACATACACACACATACACACACATACACACACATACACACACATACACACACATACACACACATACACACACATACACACACATACACACACATACACACACATACACACACATACACACACATACACACACATACACACACATACACACACATACACACACATACACACACATACACACACATACACACACATACACACACATACACACACATACACACACATACACACACATACACACACATACACACACATACACACACATACACACACATACACACACATACACACACATACACACACATACACACACATACACACACATACACACACATACACACACATACACACACATACACACACATACACACACATACACACACATACACACACATACACACACATACACACACATACACACACATACACACACATACACACACATACACACACATACACACACATACACACACATACACACACATACACACACATACACACACATACACACACATACACACACATACACACACATACACACACATACACACACATACACACACATACACACACATACACACACATACACACACATACACACACATACACACACATACACACACATACACACACATACACACACATACACACACATACACACACATACACACACATACACACACATACACACACATACACACACATACACACACATACACACACATACACACACATACACACACATACACACACATACACACACATACACACACATACACACACATACACACACATACACACACATACACACACATACACACACATACACACACATACACACACATACACACACATACACACACATACACACACATACACACACATACACACACATACACACACATACACACACATACACACACATACACACACATACACACACATACACACACATACACACACATACACACACATACACACACATACACACACATACACACACATACACACACATACACACACATACACACACATACACACACATACACACACATACACACACATACACACACATACACACACATACACACACATACACACACATACACACACATACACACACATACACACACATACACACACATACACACACATACACACACATACACACACACACACACACACACACACACACACACACACACAGGCACGCGCACGCCCAAGCACACACACACTACCAACAAGCATACATAAAATCAAGGACACATTCCTACAATAGCCTCAAAGAAATTAAAATATCTAGGAACAAACTTAACTAAGGAAATGTAGAACCTCCACAAGGAACACTTTCAACCTCTGAAGAAAGAGATAGAGATACTAGAAAATGGTAAGACATCCCTTGTTCATGAATTAGAATTGATGTTGTGAAAATGACCGTTTTACCAAAGCCATTTGCAGATTTAATGCAATCCCAATAAAAATCCCCATTTCATTTTTCACAGAAATAGAAAAACCCTACAATTCATATGAAACCACAAAAGGCCTCAGCCCAAACAATCCACAGCAAAAAGAACAATGCTGGAGGGATTAACAGTCCAGATTTGACGATATATTACAGATCCATAGTAATAAAAACATGGTACTTGCACAAAACCAGACCAATGGAACAAAATCAAAGATCCAAAAATGAGTATATGTAACCAGCCATTTAATATTTGACAAAGATGCCAAAAATTTAGGCTTGAGAAAAGAGAGCATCTTCAACAAATGACACTGGAAAAACTAATGTCTACACACAGAAGAATGAATTAGACCCTTGTCTATAACCTTGCATGAAAACTAACTCCATGCAGATCATGGACCTAATATGACACTGGAAACACTGAGACTGCTAGAAGGAAATGCATGCCATCCCCTATATGGTATAGGTGTTGCAAAGAACTTTCTGAGTAAGATTCCATCTGCCCAAGAATTAAGGCCAACAAACAACAAGTGGGACTTCATAAAACTAAAAATCTTCTGTACAGCTAAAGAAACCATCAACAGAGGAAGCCCACAGAATGGGCGAGAATCTTTGCCACCTATATATCTAACAGAGGATTAATATCCATTAATATATAAAGAACTCAAAAAACAAAGACTTAAAAACAAAACGAATTAAAAAATGGGCCTGGGATCTGAACAGAATTCTCAAAAGGGGGGGGGGGGTTTTAGTCCCTAGCGGGGACAGGAGAGCCCTGCTCTGATGCTTCTAGCGCCTAGGATGTTGCTTTCTGAGAGTCAAGATAATTATATATTCAAATTGCCTTTCCATGACACTGGATTAAGTTAGTCCTGTTTCAACTTAGTTTAATAATAAGGGGTAGAGAGCACAAAACAAAGATGGCTGTTTGTCTTGGTGAACGTTAAGTAGATAGCCCCAAGCCAGCCTGAATCACAATTCTGAAGGATGAGTGTGTTCTGCTGCATTAGACACAATGTGGACCCAGAGACTCCAGTCAGCATCACACAGGACACCCACAGAGGACATTTCAAGATACAGAGCCAGGTTATGACCTGCATGCAACAACTGTCGATTTTTGAGAAAATTCAAAAAATCTCTGAGCTTCTGTTTTCTTCTTTCTAGAATTGGGCTCATCCTGTTTCCCAATGCGTTACTCTCTACTGACTCTCTGTTGACCACTGACTGCCAGCCATAAGTATCCAAATGACCTTGGATTCCTCTTTACCCTGTCTCTTCCCTCTCATTTCCCCAGGTCACCACCCCAGCTCCTCCTTTCCCAAAATGCTGACTGTAGGTTCTTAGCTCAGCTCCTGAGAGTGCTATGGTCAATGTTTTGGTGGGGAGGGAGTCAAGCCTTATCAAGTGGTGCTTTCAGAACCAACAAGTGGTCTCAGGAAGAGGACACTGTACCACAGAATCATGATGTGGACAGTGGTTTTCTCCTTTATCAGCCACTTCTAAAGAAAACAATAACATATTTCTGTAAAAGAAAACTAGGGCAAGGGAGGCTAGCCTTTTCTCAGAAGCATTTGGTAAATGAATCCTTTCTAACATAAAATCAGTTTGAGAACACTATTCCAATGAATGTTTGTCGTGCAACATGCATGGTCTGCATCTCTGGCTTCTTTCCTAAGAAAAACACCATTACCTTTTCTGATTGTGTTTTGAACAATGCACACAGATCCTTCAGGAAGCAACTCGTCCCTGTGGGGGTTGGGAAAGGATCAGAGTTAAGCACTGAAACAAGCAATTAATTCCCATTAGAGGATTAAGGCACTCATGCTCACTTTGAATCAGGGAAGCAAGTTGAGAGTGAATGTAGGAACAAGAGGTTATTTGTCAAAGTTAATAACTTAGAAACCCAAAGAGCAGCTAGATGTACAAGAGGGGCTGGGTAGACACACAACACCGGCCAGGGGATGGGTAAGATTTCAAGTCTGTGGGAAGGACTGCCTTTCTCTTTGCAAACACTGAGGAAAGCAGGGTCTGTGCCATATGCTGCTGTTTTCATTCTAACAGATGTGTCCTATAGAAGTAAAGCCCAGTTCCCTCCTCTTACCACATATGTGCAGTCTAGACAGCCACACATGGCTGCTCAGCTTCGGTTTTGCTGGGAGCTCTAGAGCCTGCACTGAGTATATGTATGCAGTGTCTCTGTGGATGAGGTCACAGACACGGTAGGGACTAGGAGGGAGGCCTACAGTGTCAAGACTGAGGTGCCCGATTAGGATTGAAGAGCCCAAAGCAGAACCTTTGTCTCAGACTTTTAACCTGGAATAATGTCTATTCAGAAGTCAGCCAAAGGTAGCGTAGGCTCAGCGTCTCCAAATGCTTTAGCTCAGCAAAAACCTGGCTAGTTAACACTTTCAATATTTAAAAACCAAAAACACCACAGAAATGTCCAGCTGGCAGGGCGCTGCCTGAAATGCTGTCACTCAGCAGTTTACTTTCCTGTAGAATAATCCATCGAGTTTCATATTTCATCACTGAAACAGAATGGAAAGGCCTTTGCTTAACTGCTGGATTGGTCTGATTGGTTTTTCCCACTAGCCACCTGGTGGTAAAAGGCAGGACTTGGACTTAAAAATCATGACTAGTGCCGGGCGTTGGTGGTGCACGCCTTTAATCCCAGCACTGGAGAGGCAGAGGCAGGCAGATCTCTGAGAGTTTGAGGCCAGCCTGGTCTACAGAGCAAGTGCCAGGATAGGC